TACATATGTTGTTTGTCAGAAGAGTTTCCGGGATAATTTTGCCCTGTTGCAAGCGACATTAGATTGGGTCCGAAATATAATCTTTCACATTCATGGGTGCTTTGAATATTGCAATAGTATGAATTTTGCAGCGTTGAATGCTACTGAACACGTGAATAACTATTTTCATTCAAGTGTTCTGGACCATATTGAGTGGCGAGCTCATGTAGACGAAATGCTTAATAATAGTTTATAAGAAAAAGTGGCAAAATAAGGCGAAAATATTGCATAATGTAGCAAGATTTGTATAATTGATAATTAGACAGCCTAAATGATTATTGAGTGACGAACTCAGGTAGACGAAATACTTAACATTTATTTATTACAAAATGTTGCAAAATAAGGAGAAAGTATTAAATAATGTGACAAGATTTGTATAATTGATCGGACAGCATGATAACTGGATGTAACTGAATTATCCAGTTACGTGGCCAGTAGCAGACATTACAAACTGTGATATTAATAAAAAAGAGACACGTGTACAGTGTACACGTTCTAACATGCGTGCACATAACCGGTCGCGTATTATCTCGTATGCACCGTTTGTGCAGATTTAATTGCGATTATTGATGTATTCAAAAAATTATGCAGCCATCATAAATTTATGGTGTTCCTTCATTTTTATGTTGATGTTCATGCTCAACTTCTATGAACTAATATTGCAGTACTAGTGAGAATTAGTGGAGAGTTAGTAGACAAACTTACTGCTTCTTCAAACCTATTACGGACCTTAAAAATCAACAGCAACTGATTATTATCTTTATTTTCATATTAACTGTGTTGTTTACCGCCTGATGCAGTTATATAACACAAATAAATAGTGATTCTTACCTCGAATATCGTGTTTGAAAATGTTGAACGCCATGTTGATTTGCAGGCGTACTTTATGCGTTGATTGCCTAAGAATGTGAATAAAATACACATTTCATTTAGCATGGCATAGCATCTTTGGCGTTGAAGAAATAGGCCTGTTTAGGCTTGTGGCCGATTCCGGTGCTTTACGTGACTTGTTCACAGATCTAAAAAACTGGCCTTTTGACAAGATCTTTACAACAGACGTTGGGTTACATCATCACTGGACTGTTACTAGTTCCGGAGGTGGCCAGGCATTTCAAGACTGAACACACACTTTTGCATAACATTGTCCAGTTTATTCATGAACACGTTTATACTCGGAGCGTCAACAATATCATCAGGGAGGTTGTTCCGCATGTCGGTGACTCAAAGCGAGAAGCAGTGCTGTCACACGAATGGATTGCACTGCATTTTTTTAGCTTATAGCCGTGGCCCCTGGTGTTGGTCCTTGTATAAAACTCTAGTAATCTTTCTGGGACCTTGTGTAAACCATTATTATTCATGTATACTTCAATGAGGTCCCCATGCAGACTTCGATTACAGAGGCTTGGAAGTATCACAACCTTTGATCTATCTTCATAAGACTTGCCCCTCAAGCCTGGAATTATCCTTGTTGCACGTTTTTACACTCTCGACGAAATTTTTGTCCTTTCCAAGTATCGGTAACCACACATTGCTTCCAAACTCTAGGTTCGGGCGCAAGACCGCGACAAATAACAATTTGTTCGCTTTTGCATTTAGGAACTCGTAAGAGCGTCTGTTCGGTCCAAGCAGTTTATTGTAATTATTAACTTGGGTTTCAATATGCTTAGAAAATTCCAGCTCCTTGTCGACATTAACTCCTAAATCTGTTTCCACACTAGAATTTTCAATCAAAACTCTCTAGTTGCAACCAGGTCTTCTCATACCGTAATCTTACTGTTCATTGTTCCTGTTGAGTTGAAGCACCTTGCACTTGTCAGTTTTAAAATCCAGCTGCAACGTATCAGCCCAGTCAACTACCCGATCAAGATCATCTTGCAGATGCACTTTGTTTGACGCATCCTAAGCTGTATTATAAACTTTTGTGTCGTCAGCATACATAAAACACACACTTGACACTACTTCTGGCAGATCGTTTATAACAGCAACGAACAAAACAGGCCTCAGAACGATTCCATATGGCACGCCACTGCGCACTGATGCCCAGTCAGATACGGTTTCGTTAATACTGACACGTTGTCGTCTACCTAACAGAAAATTCCTGATCCAATGGAGTACCTTCCCTCTATTTCCGAATACTTCACTTTATGCAACAGCAGCTCATGAGGAACACTGTCAAGACAAATGCCTTGGCAAAATAGAAATTATTGGTTGTCATGTGCGAAGTTTTCACTTGGATGAAGTTGAATTTAGTATAATCAAAACAACAATAACAACAACCAATTCAGGTGAAAAGTAATCTGTGCTGTGGTAGCCAGCTCGAGAAACTTGATTCACATTTGATATTTTTGATCATTTTGGAAAGATGCTTGGTTCTTTTACTTTTTGCAATCTCGTAACACTTAGATATCGCACGCAATCCTAGGCACATGCCACCAACTAATACGACATGAACAAAAAACTATGATTTAGTTTTCATTAAATTAATATTTGATAAATTTCGGGCATAAATTTTTCATCCTCACCTGCTCTGTGCCACAAATGATTTGGGTGACGTTTGAAGTAGTTTTAGTGTGCACATTCCACGTGAAACTAACATCTCGCCCAATACTTAACTTCCCTTTATCTGAAGAATTTGTGCCAGTTCGTTGCCTGACCTCACAGCAGCAACTCCCAAGGTGCTGTTTCGTGCCAGATTCATTTTGAACTCTCCTATCTACGCTTCAAGTCAGATGGTGTGGACTAACTTTTCGAAGAATCTTTGGCCCCGGTTCACCTTTGAAACTATGGATTAAAGCAACCCATGGAAGCTTAGCTTGAGCTCGGTCGGGACTTTGGACGCATGCGTGGGCACGTGCTGGAGTGGATGTCGTCTGCGCTACGATTTATAACTATGCTCTATCGATCGCTATTGGTAAGTAAACTGTGAACATATTTATTCAGGTTGCTAGAAACTCAGCCTAGAATATTGTATGTGTACTATCTCGGTATCTCCTATCACTATGGGAGCGCTGCCGTAGCCCAAAAATTTAACTCTTAAATCAGCCCAAAAGCCAATGCCAACCCTCTACATGCAATAGAAATAGTCAGTCTAATATACCTATGCAGCTGTTCTTAGTCTTACTTGCCTCATCTCGCCACACCAGCTTGAAACAAGCAATGTCTCATCCCCACTATGCAGAGGGTGGATGCAGCGTCGGCAATATTCGGGCGGGTCAATCATGCGGGGGACGGGCAGGTCAGCCATGTTGGGGGTCGGGCAGGATTATTACTCACCACTATAAATCTCCAAGCATATTATGGCTTCCAATAAACCCTTATATATTCTGATGAATTATTTTATAATGTCTCCCAATAAACCAATATATATTCCCATGGATTATGTTATTTGATTATAATGTCCTCCAACTCTCTTTCTCCCGTGCCCCAGGCAATGACGCCAGAGTTCCGCGCCTACCAGCAGCAGGTGCTGCGCAACTGTTCCGCCTTCGCTGCTGAGCTCACCAAGCGCGGCTTCTCCTTAGTCTCTGGTGAATGTCCTCTGCTGATACACTCAGAGAAATGAGCATGACTTAGCAATGACTGTTCAAATGGCAATGAGAAATTACAATCTAGATATCGAGGCAGTTTCTGCCCTTATTTGGGCGATTTAGACCTAGTTTGGCCTTACAAAAAGGCCAAGTGTTCATCTAACTCATTAATTAATGTATTTGTTTTCGTATTGGGTAAGGTGCCGGCAAGATAGTCTAACATTGAGTTAACACGCTACAGTAATCAAAATGTTTATTTGCTCCTGCAAGATAGTCCAGTTTTGAACTTATCTTTTAAGGGGGAGGTTCACCTTTCCAAAAACTTTTTTGTTTACGGACGGATCTTTCTGAAACTTCACACATATATGTAAAACCGCAAAAGAATCACATTTTGTTCATGTGATTTTTTCGGAAAATTTGATAGAAAACGTGAAATTCATAGAAAAGGACAAAAAAGGGGGTACTGTAAAAATCTATCTCCTCCTAGGGTTTTTAAGCTACAACATAGAGACGCATATCATTCGATGCGTAAAGACCATGCCAATCGAGTAACGATGCCCGATTTTTGATTTTTGCCTTTGTTTTTTTTACACGCATTTTTCCATTTTTTTTCAGATTTCCCCCTCCTCCCTCCATTTTGAATCCAAACTATGCACAAATCTAAAAAAGGGCTTCGTTAGTCGATAGGTATGGTCTTTACGAATCGAATGGTATATGTCTCATCGCTGTAGCTTCAAAACTCTAGTAGGAGATAGGATTTCCGTGACAATAAGTTAAGCTTTTCAGGAGAGCGCGACAAAGTCCCGCGCGCCTCGAAATAGGCACTCTATGTAGCATGGATACCAAACTACAGGCTTCTGTTGCTTGATTCCACTCAAGGATGGTAGCAGCGACTTGCAGTACACCTCTCCGTACGAAGCGAGGCGGGTGACTAAGCCTTGATGCCACAGAACACCATATATGCCTGTCTCTTATACACATCTAGATGTGTATAAGAGACAGGGGGACGGGCAGGTCAGTCATGATGNTTGGGCAGACGCGGGAGCGAGTTGCGGCCCCTTTGCCTCTTCACGCTTATTGAAGAGGAGCCGCTTCCAAAATTAGGCAGCACCAAACTAACTGTCTCGTGGAATTGATGGCTATTTATACCATCTTGAAACTTTTCAAATAAAGAAAAGATTTCTTTAGCCTCCAGTCTATTCTTGTTTTGCTTGCCTATACCTTCATTTATCAGCCCGTTCCTCAAAGTTTTGTCAACAAAATATTAACAAAATGAAATCTGCGAAAAATAATTGTTCAGAAATTCTTCAAACTCCGAATTGGTTCCCGCACCACATGCAATGCCTTCGCAAACGACACCTGGTACACTCACCGGAGTTTGAGAAGTACTGCCCGAGATAAATAATCCGGTATAGCGGAATTGGATCAAGACCAGATACGCATGAAGTCATAACATCCAGCACTGGCATACTATTATTTCTCTCGAGCTCCAAAATAAACTTATAAGTTATAACTATGCTCTATCGATCGTTATTGGTAAGTAAACTGTGAACATATTTACTCAGGTTGCTAAAATATTGTATGTGTAATGACCGTAAATGACGGAAAGTCTGAATGTGACTCAAGTGAGTAGGCTAAGGCTAACTGGAAGTTTGGAACTATCAAGCCTGAAGGCCCAAGTTGCCAACATAGGCGGCTAGGCCTATTGCAGAGCAGATATTTTGATGTTTCCTGCCTAACATGGTAAAAGTTGAAGTCTAAATATTTTTTACTCATCCATGCATAGTCTGCATGGAATATAATTTGAATATATGTAGAAAATAAGTAGAATAATAAAAGATATATAATATTTATTATTTTATATATGTAATTTAAATGAAATTTGCTTATCTAAACTCATGGCACTCCAGTCAGTCATGTCTGGCATTGTGTATGTTACAACTTAGGTACAACTTATGTTAGTCATCCATTACCCTGAGACCCTCTAGCAGTAGNTATGCTGGTATTGGGCAATGCTGGGTTATTTCAGTCGTCCCATCACTATCAGTTCTAAATTTCTAATTGTTAATAACTGTGCACAATCAACTTGATCAAGCTGGGAGATTCTAAATAAATTGGAAATTTCTCACATTGGAGCCGCAAGATTTCTGAAAACGAGTAATAAAATTCAAATTTAGATTACCCACCACAGCAGAATTGGAGTTTTAAATTTGTTATTAAAATCAGTAAAATATTGTCTTGCCAGCCGGCAGCCCCAAACCCAAAGGGATAAATTTTCAGTGTATCTGGAATGTTGTGGTCTGATTGTCTTATATTATTAGTAATTAGATGGAAAGTAATTCATCTAACAGGAAATGAATCTGGCCATTCCATAAATTGCAGGAAAGCTTCAGTTACAGCTGGAAAATTAGATAGATTCCACACTAGCCCTCATGGACTTATGATCATGGCTTTCTCACTAGTAATTATATACAATAAATTTCTGGTTGTAATTTTAGAGGGCTATTAAACTAATCACAACCAACACAGAGCATATTGTACATAACCAATCACGGTCTAAGGAGGATGACATTGCAATCCCACAACCTGTAACAATCAGGAGTGGATGGCATCACAATTTCAATAACCAATCACAGCCTGGAGATGATGACATCACAATCTCACCAACCAATCACAGTCGGAGTCTGGAGTGGATGACATCACAGCTAATCACAGTTTGGAGTGGATGACATCACAGCTAATCACAGTTTGGAGATCGATGTGCATCTGCCCAAAATTGACAAGCTATATGTACTATCCTAAAATTCCAGTCTGTGGAGACTGCGATTATCCATACTGATTATTTGCCAAAATTGCCAGCAGCCAAATAGATTGTGTGATTATGAACTACCTACAATCCATGGTGAATTTTATTTCTAATCACTGTTCACCAGTGACCATAATTGTCCTTACGTGTCTATGGTAATGAATTGGCATTCTCGACCTATTCTGTATCATTCATTGACTTGGGACTTGAATAACTACATATTGTCATAGATAACTGGACATGCATTAATAATTTGTCATGAACATCTGTAATGATACTTTTTATTTTTTTTCAGAAATTATTGCCTTTTCATCAAAGGAACTGCAATAGAGCATTATTATCACACATTCGGAACTTCAGCGGCAAGGAAACATTGGCTGAAGATGACCCAGTTGTTTGGGAGCTGGTCAAAGAAGAGAAGATGCGCCAGAAGCAGGGACTTGAGTTGATTCCTTCAGAGGTAAATCTTTGATAAATTAATACGTAAAAGAAGGCTTATAAAGGCACTTAGAATGTTGCAGCAAAACTAATTTCCTTGTTAGTTACTATCCATTACCCTATCCAAAACTACTACCCTATCCATTACCTTATCCATTACCCTATCCAAATACCCTATCCTGACAGGCTAATTATAAAGAATAGGTAATTATATATTTTCTACTTTGATTCCATTTTCTGCAAATTTGTTTGGTGTTTTTGATTTTGGGACACTACCTACTCATAACTTTTTGTAATTTTAAGACCAGATGAAATCTATGGTTGGATTATTAAAACTCCCAGTTAGATCACCTATACCCAATGAGTTTGTTTCATAAAACTGAAATTATTGCTATCTCCTTATTTGATGTGTGTTCCTAAGATAAATTTTTACTTCAAGTATATTAGTTATTGATACACACAATTCAATAATACTGCTATAATTTTTGTTATTTAATATTTTTCATCAACATATACCGTAATAAATTCCTAATGATTAAAATTTTTTACTTTAATTGTCCCTTTAAAGTTTCACCAAGCAAGTTATTTGCTAAATTCAAACAACTATTTCATAGTTGCTTTTCCTTGCTTGCTGGTTTGAGTGGTTTATAAGTCCTCCAAAACTTCAAATGAGTTTGTTCTGAGAGAAGCATTGACTACTGGAGTGATCAGCATTTTATTTGGTTCAGCCAACCTTCAGCAAGTGAGCCAAGTTTCCACTCATCTGCTGGTGGTTAGTGGAGCCTGCTTGGAATCTGACAACTCCTGCAGTTGATGCTCTTCATGGAATGAATCAATGTCAAGTTCTAGAGTACCAGTACCATCATACATCATAGACTTTTCCCTATTAATACAAAATATATTATATCCTCCATATTTCCTGCATAAGCTAATTGTAATTAGATTATTTGTCATAATCACAATTCTAACTATGTTTTATCTGTCAGAATTTTTGTACTCGTGCTGGTTTGGAAGCTCTTGGTTCATGTCTAAACAACAAATACTCTGAAGGCTATCCTGGAGCTCGCTACTATGGTGGCACTGATGTTGTGGACAAGGTACGTCATGTTGTGAAAATGAATGTATGAAATTTTGGATAAATCCATATAATTGCTTTATTTAGCTGACTTGTTTAGAGTAATTATGCCTCTAGATGTATTCTTATTTAAAGATTTAATGTTACCCATGTATTGATATGAGTTTTGTATTATACTTTGATATTTTAAATACTATAGATGGCACTCTATCAAATCAAAGAAAGTGGTACCTCGTTTCTTGACTACAATCCCTAAAATCAACTTGAACAACTGGTTGCAAAAATTTTACCATCATTTTTTAGTTGCTCATTTGTTATATTACATACCTAGGTATGTAATTTTCAGTCAGTTGAAGAACTGACAGTTTATCAAATTTTAGTATTGAGAAATATCAGTAGCCATTTTGTTTTTTCAGTCAGTTAACAATTGGATTTATTTGTTTGAACACTGTTCCACAGGTGGAGAGGTTGTGTCAGAGTCGTGCCTTGGAGGCATTCCGTCTGAACCCTGATGAGTGGGGCTGTAATGTTCAGCCCTACAGCGGCTCTCCAGCTAATTTTGCTGTTTACACTGGCATCCTCAAACCTCATGACAGGCTCATGGGGCTCGATCTTCCTGATGGAGGACAGTGAGTGATGAAAAATGTTGCTTACATAGTATTCATGTCAATATTTTTCCGGCAGAGGGACATTTCAAAAGTTACTTCTGTCTTCCTGAACCTATCACAAGTCTGCTATGTACAATATTTCTTACACTGTTGTTTCAGCTATCATGTTCACCTAAGAATTTTAATCATGCTATTGCAATATTTCGGCTCTAGTACCTTAAATTTACTAGCATTACCAATGTCATGCACGTGGTCAAATTTTTCTTTCTTGAACCCCAATTATTTATTTTCAATATTAAAATCTTATAACAGGATTATATCTGTCATTTTATGCTTGGTCACTGTGGTTTGCCAGCTTTATTGTAGTAGTACCTGATATAAATAAATATTCATATATATTCTTGATAAATAATTGATTTTATATTTGATAAATAATTGATTTTATATTTTTTTAGTTTGACTCACGGCTTCATGAGTGATACTAAGCGAGTGTCAGCAACTTCAATATACTTTGAGTCAATGCCTTATAAGCTCAACCCAGAAACTGGGACAATAGGTAAGGCTGTTTTCGCTTGCTTCTTGATTTCATAGTGAATTTTGGTAGGAGATTTTGTGGCTAAATTGGATTGCTTCTAGAAATCTTCTTGTAGCTTGGAAAAGTAGACACACTCAATTTATTATTTATATTTTGTACAGTTTTAAATTTTTTTCCACATGTATTTGATATTGTACCATTACCAATGCACATAAATACTTGCATTTAAATAGTATGTATAGGTATATATATATATATATATATATATATTGATGGTCAGCAATGCATTTTGTCATGTTTCAATACAATAAAAAAATTTCAACTTTCTTAAAACATACCATAATATAGTTGATCGATTTCATTCATAAAATATTGGAGTGCAGAGACTACCACTGAGAGATGTCTTATTACTTTAATTGTTTGCAGACTATGAAAACCTGCACAAAACTGCCCTGCTATTCCGCCCTAAGCTTATCATTGCCGGAGCGAGTGCCTATTCCAGGCTCTTTGATTACGAGGCCATGAGGAAGGTGGGTGCTGGTCCCAGGTTCTGGAGTGTGGTGGGTGCTGGTCCCAGGTTCTGGAGTGTAGTGGGTGCTGGTCCCAGGTTCTGGAGTGTGGTGGGTGCTAGTCCCAGGTTCTGGAGTGTGGTGGGTGCTGGTGCACTCTAAATAACCCATTGTATCTGCCTTTACGCACAGCCTTTATTTTTTTCGGGTTATTACTCTGTATCAAAAGTAACGAAGCATGACGTGTAACTCAGATGTTGGCTTTGTGTAGGGTATAGTAAGAAACCTGTACAGTGCACTTCAAATCTAACCAAAATATCACCAATCTAACTGGAAAACATTAACTAACTAGTAACTAATCTATCACACACTAACTGAAAAAAAAAATCCTTTTTGTCTGTTAATGTTTATTATAAAGAAAAACATGAATACTATTGACTCTTCATTCTGCAGACATAACATCCTTCTTTCCTCAATATCTATTATTCAAACATTTCTTATCCTAGATTATTTATTCCGCAGAAAAATCATTATTGACTTCTCACATGAATGTTTATTATGAAAACATTTATTATCATTCACCATTTATTCTGCAGACATGTGATGTGACAAACTCACTGCTGATGGGGGACATGGCGCACATCTCAGGCCTGGTCGCTGCTGGCGTCATCCCATCACCATTCGACCACTGCCACATCGTCACAACCACCACACACAAGACGCTCAGGGGACCTCGCTCCGGACTCATCTTCTTCAGGTCCTACTTGGGCTTACTTATAAACTTTCCTTTGTATCCTTGATATGCAAAGTGCCTTCAAAGTTCTGATGTGCCAAGCGTCACAATAATCTATTTGTAAAATAAAAATCATAATTGCTTCATAATTCTTATGTACCACTCGCTTCTCTTCACATTTTTTTTGTTGTTGACACTTGAAATTTCTATACCGTAGTAACAATATAAAACCTTGCTTTCGAGCTGCAATACCATGCTTCCCAGCTGCATATTTTACCATACTTCCGAGCTGCAATACCGTGCCTAGAGATACCTACATAGTTTCGATCGGTCCTCGAAACAGCAACCAACCACACAGCAACCAACCAACCACACAGCAACCAACCGTGCCACAGGCGGCACGGACAACCAACTACTTATAAATTAAAAACGTGTTTATACAATTCACAGCCTGCAATATTTATTTGATTTTTTTCATTCTTTTGCGAAAAGTTTGCAGAACCCAAAGTTTCGTAGCTGCACATTACAATTGAAAGATTTTTCTCAATATACTATCATTTGAATACTGTTAATTTCACGTTTGGTACCTAGATGCATTTCATTGTCGAGTCAACAGATGTAGAATACAACTAAAGTTGTGCACTAAATTTAAATTAAATCCTCTACTATTCTTGACAGCTAAACATAAAATAACTAAATTTATTTCACACATCTGGAGAAGTGCCTGCTCATCATAACTAATTTTAGAAAGTAACAAAATTTATTGGAGGTGTTTCGAGAAGTGCCATCCCATTATAAATTAATTTATAAAAAGTAACAAAATTTATTGCAGGCGTTTCGAGAAGTGTCATCCCATTATAAATTAATTTATAAAATGTAAAGAAAATTTACTGCAGACGTGGCGAGAATTGCCTTGTCTTTACAAATTAATTTTAAATGTAACAAAATTTACTGCCGGCGTGGCGAGGAGTGCCATCCCATTATAAATTAATTTATAAAAAATGTAACAAAATTTATTGCAGACGTGGCGACAAGGGCGTTCACCCGAAGACGGGGGCGGTGGTGAAGTGGGACCTGGAGTCGCGCATCAACGGTGCGCTGTTCCCCGTCGCTAATGTTGACGTACACATACGGCAGTGGTACCGTTGAATAGCTCAGAATGTCAGCTTTAAGATGAGACTAAACGAGTAACTAAAGCGCAACTCAATCAGACACTATATTTAAAATGCTCAGCAGCTAACTACCTTGTACCTAATTAGTGAAGGAACTCTCCCACTCGCCCCCTTTAAAGAGCCGTCATGAACGCATAAATTAACGTACAGAGATCGCAGTGGTACCGTTGGATAGGGCAGAATGTCAGCTTTAAGATGAAACTAAAAACCGAAAATGCCAAATCCGAAAATTTTAGGGTAGACCTCCCCTTTAATTAATGTATTTGTTTGCGTATCAGGCAAGGGGCCGCATGCAAAATAGCATAACGTTGAGCTAACACGCTAATTAAAATGTTTGTTTGCACCTGCAAGATAGTCCAGCGTTGAACTGACATTTTAATTATCGTATAGGTTTACGTATCAGCAAAGGCGCCTGCAAGATAGCCTAACGTTGAGCTTACACGCTAATTAATATGTTTGTTTGCACGTGCAAGATAGCTCAGTGTTGAACTTACATTTTAATTAATTTTTTTTGTTTATGCCACAGGCGGCACGGACAACCACCTGGTGCTGGTGGACCTTAGGCCCCGCGGGCTGGACGGCGCACGCATGGAGTTTGTCTGCAACGCGTCGAGCATCACCGTCAACAAGAACAGCGTTCCTGGCGACACCTCCGCACTTGTGCCAGGGGGCATCAGGATGGGTGGGTCACCCTGACTCAGTAGGACATATCTGCACCTAATCAGGATGGGTGGGTCACCCTGACTCAGTAGGACACACTCGTACTTGTGCCGGGGGGCATCAGGATGGGTGGGTCACTCTGACTCAGTAGGATACATCCACACTTGTGCCGGGGGGCATCAGGATGGGTGGGTCACTCTGACTCAGTAGGACACACTCGTACTTGTGCCGGGGGCATCAGGATGGGTGGGTCACTCCGACTCAGTAGGACACACTCGTACTTAGGCCCGGGGGCATCAGGATGGGTGGGTCACCCTGACTCAGTACTGGCAACCTGTCAAGTGTATCACTTCCTGACCGATCTGGCAGAAGCTTGCCATCATATCGAACGACTGATTTGGTTGGAAATTAATCAGTCTGCAGCTGCAGAATTAACAACAGCAATGCGATAAAATAAGTAAGTTAGAATGAGCCAAAACGAGCTGGTGACATGCTACATTCACTTAAGCTTTACAGTCTCTGCAAGTGCTTTTTAGCGCATTTTCTCATTTATGGGAAAAAATGCACTATTGTGCTCGCCATGTCCGCCTGTCTGTCTGTCTGTCCGTCCGTCCGTCCATCCATTTGTCCGACCGTCCGTCCGTCCGTGACCTCAAGTTTTCGTCGACGAGAAAATGCGCTCTCTGTCACTGACTGCAGTGAGTACTGAGTTATATTTTTTGCTCAGTTTGGACAACCATATCTACTAAAATGGGCAAGCACGAATGTTCTATGCATGTAGTCAGTACACCACAAATGAACAAAAATCGATACCTAGTCGCAGGTTCCGTGGAAGATAAATGACTGACTTACGGTATTAGGTCTAAAGGTAAGACCTTTTAATCATTATGAGACACTTCACCAGACATATAAAAGTTTGGTGCTCGTAACGCACCCCTAAATAACATCTAATGGGCCAGATTTTTAGCAAATTTGTTATAGTTTGTCGAAAGAAAACTTTCTGAGGTGAGACCTGAAACTTCCCGAAAATTTTTGTTTTGGTACAATCTAATTGTTGGGCTACTCTGACGGAGTGGGATATCTCTCCCGGTGTAATTAGGGGTCGAAATGGGTAGTTGACAGAGCTGGGCAGCGCTACTTAGAAATGTAGCGGCCGCTACCGCTACATGCTCTAAATGTAGCGGGCGCTACCGCTACCGCTACAATTGCTTAAATGTAGCACCGCTACCGCTACTGAAAATGTAGCGCGCTACTGCCCACCTCTTGTAACAACTAGCATGTTGACACTAGTAACAGGCTGAGGTTGACAATATTACACCGAAATTTTTCGTACAGTTTTATTCTGTGATTTATTTTATATATGTATCATGCTGGTTTTTAAATAATATTTAATACTATTAAGTAAAATCTAACGGCTTTATCTATAAATGTAGCGGTAGCGCTGTAGCGGCAAAACCTCGTATCGCTACTTAAATATGTAGCGGGCGCTACCGCTACCGCAACAATTGCTTAAATGTAGCGCCGCTACCGCTACTGAAAATGTAGCGGCCGCTACATGTAGCGCGCTACTGCCCACCTCTGGTAGTTGATTTTAGAGGCTGCGTCGTAAGTTGTTTTCCTCTCGTACCGCGTAACTTATGCATTGCTGGGCGTAAATAACCTATCATATTGTTCACTTTTTTTCCAACTTCCTCATCATATTAATGCTTTGCTCATTACCATTTTAATTGTAGGTAGGATCGGGGTGGAAGCCTGATTAAGAGGTAAGGATTGAGGAGTATCACATGTGGAATGGGGTGGAAAGCTTCGTGAATTTGCAGCTGGAGAAAGTGAGAACACAATCCAAAACCTATTTTGTGCCCCTGTTGATGAGGAAATTCGTGAAATGCTTTGTATTTTACTACTGTAATTCCTCGCTGAAATTGCGTTTCTTTCGGATATTAACACTTTCAGTGTTAATATCAGTGTCACAAAATATAAACGCTCTCAGTGTATAAATTTCAGTGTCACTAAATATACTTTTTTTCAGTGTCTCTTCATTGTCGTGGGTTCTCAGGGGTAGAACTTATGAAATCAAATGAATAAAACTTTGAGCCTACTTTAAAAATCCACGTATCCTACAGGCACTCCAGCTTTGACTTCACGGGGATTCTCAGAGAAGGACTTCAGTGAAGTTGCCGGGCTGGTGCAGGAGGCGGTCGACATCGTGCTGCTCGCCAAGTCTAAGACAGTCTCCACCAAACTCAAGGATTTCCAAGCTCTTTGCCTGCAAGATTCTGAAATCCGAGAACAAATATCCGCGCTCAAGAAGAAAGTCAACGACTTTGCTCTTAGTTACCCAATGCCTGGCTTCGATGACCACTGAATTTAGAGTGAATTTGACGTTTGAGTTATCAATATAACCCTCTTAATACTCTAAAAAGTTTTGTATTTGACTCAATTATCTTAGAAATAGTCGAACAGCCACTCGGTGCGACAAAATCTCAATTTTGTTATTTCTCATTTCGTTCTTGAAATTTTCTCCAGTACTCCAATACTCACAGAAAAATTTTGCTGGAAAAAATAAGTTCAACTAAACCCACGACGCATCGTAAGTTGTTTCCCTCTCGTACCGCGTAGCTCGTGCATTGCTGGTCGTAAATAATCTATCATAATGTTTCTTTTTTTTCCAACTTCCTCGTCCTATTTCTTTCTTCCTCGTCAGAAAAGACCTACGCCTCCGATAAAACGCCACATTCGTGTCATGATATTGCTGGTTGAGATGAAGTAACAGAAGATGAACTGAACCGAGAAGCATACACCTTCGACCAGATAGATCAGGCTACGAGCCTGAAACCAACAAAGAAACCTGACACTGCAAACCGAATATTGCACCTTCGGCGCGAAATAGACGAAACTGATCTGAAGCGCTAGAAACCTCTCTCCTACTACTACTACCGTACTACTACTCGTCATATTTTCTTAATGCCTTTTTCTCTTTTGGAATTAAAGCTCAAATCTTTGTAAAGATTAGGTCCTGGTTGTTGAAACTATTTATTCCTTATTAAATTTTAAAACAAACGTTACTGTATTAAATTATTTTCTATTTAATATTGATATATTGATTGCTTGATGCAATTGTATGAATGATGGTGAGGCCATTACATTCCTTGAAGTCATATATTTTTTGTAAAGTTTATTCACTGAGGAAAGACTTGCTTTGATTTATTATTAAAGATCATAAATTTATCATATATTCACGTGCTTGTCAAGTTTCGATCCTGCCGAGTTACGGACGTATATCATTTGTAGTACACGATGTCTGAAGTGCCTTGAAGAAAAATAATTATAATCAACATAACTGTTTAAATCGGGCATTGTAAAAGTTTTTTTTCTATGTTGAAATTCTTTGTACGGTACTTGTTATATTTTAACAGAATTTTTTAACATAAATTAGTAAAAATAATGGTTTTCGAGATATTCTAGTGAAGTATTTATGAAACACAAATTGTTTCTAATGTAAAAAAATCTCCAGAGAACAGAAAATGTAATAAAAATTGTTGAATTAATCTCTACGAGATGTGCTGCCTACTCACACACCTGTATTTGCAGCATTTGTTCATGTAGTAGCGGTAGGTAATTCTGTAAAACATGCTCATGCTTGCATATATTTAGCTTTGGTAATGTAGTCAGAAATCTCAACGGGTTTAAGAATAGTATATTCTGTGGTCGACGAAGTAGAACAGCCATTATTTGGTTTGTGAAGCCTTTAATTTTTAAAGTTCATTGATTGTGGTTTATTTTCGCGCGTAAAAATGTCCGGCTATTTTAAGTGCCTTCTCAAGTGCTTTGCAAGATTGCTCTTTCAACGGACGAATGAAGTGTATTTTTGCTTATTACTTATATATCGAATGAGATAAATTTCCAACCCAATGACAATACATGTAATTATTTTCCTCATTAAATCGTTAATTAAGTTAATTTCCTACGTGCAGATGACAGTTTAAATAAATTCATGCTCTGAAATAGTGCACCAATACAATTTTGAACTGTCAATTAATGTATAAATCAAATCTACAAATTTCGAATGAAGTGACGTGCGCTTCAACGACTTGAAATTGCCGAGTTAACATGACAAATATCAGCTCTCTGAAACGAACCCTGCACAAAGTTTAAGCCGACGGTGTTGCGAATAACCTAACTCGTCGTCAATGGTTTTGTTGATATTCCCTTCGCCTTAAACTGATTTAAACATCGATCCTAGATCCCTGAAAATTATGCTTTAACATTTAATCTAAAAACATTGATTTTATGAACCGGTCGGGAGTGTCGACGATGTGGCACTGCCAAGATATGCTCAGTATAGCGCGAACGATGATCTCGCTATCTGCTGAAGAGGATTCGTGGCCTAGAGTAATTGTGTGTCAATTCAGTGTTAATGGGTAATACGTAATTTTAATGTTGAAATCTGTTAAAATGCCTTTGCGCTATCGTTGCTGCAACTGATTATTTCTTTCTTGTAAAGCGCTTATGTTTGTTGTTGCTTCAGCCTCTGTTAATGTTGAGTTTTAGTCATTTGCTTTGATACATAAACGTTGTTGGTGCGGAGGCAAGAGCTTACGTCGGAGAATAAAAATGGCAAGTCTTGGATAGTATCCAGATAGAAATTCTTGATCAGTTAAACATTGATGAACTTTTCATGAATTGTAGATTTTGCTCAAACTAAACAAAGTAATCAAATCCATGTTATTTACCATGCCTCCTATATGGGAAGAATCATTAAATATACTTTACTGTTTTACTTTCTTCTGCCTATATGTCAGTGGAGCTATTTATATAAAATCTGGTTAAAGTACCCATCAACCGTCCCCTTCCAAATTGATTAATAGTTAGAACTGATGTTTTCAATAACAATCGACATCACCGAGATATTAATAATGATATTGTGACGCATGTAGAAATGATATTGTGTGTAGGTTCGTTATTGGTTGTATTGTTGTGATACTGTTCTTTATTTTGGTGTGAAACTACAATGATTTTTATCTGCCGACTTGTTTGGGGATGAGGTGATGGTGGTATTTTTCATTAATGTTAAAATTTTATCCATAGAATATGGGGATGTGGTTTGGTACCACAAATTTTTCGCTTATTTTCGCTTATTTATAAATTATTTCGCTTAATTTTCATGCCTAGTAATCTAGCATTTCAGCAATAGCAATGCTAATGTTGATGGAGCTTGTTAAATGTTTATGGGAAGTGAAAATTTAAATGTTAACTGTGCCTGCTGGACAGCTTTCTCTATGGTTTTGGTTAAAGATTGCCTTCATATTAAACTTAATGCTTTTTGAAGCTTATTCTTGTTGTAATGGGGTTTTGAATGCTAGGCTTTCTTGCTGTAAGCTAAAGTTCCGTGTCCAGTGTACGTCTTTAATTTCAGATTTTATTAAAAAAGTATATTGAAAAGCTGTTTGCTACTCACAAAACCCATTGCTTTTCATATTAAGCCTAAATTAGTTGAAATAATTGTCAACGTTATATACGTGAAAGTTATTTCAGGGCAGGGTGGCTCAGTGGTTAAAGTTCAGAGTACCAAGATTGGCGCAGAGAAGCGCGGGTTCGATCCCAGCTCTGTGCGCCAGTTTCTGGTCAGAATCGCAAGGAGGCCGGGCGGTTAAGCACAGCAGAATTGTAGCAGCGAGTTGTTGTGTGTTCGAGACCGCAAAATGCTGTTACAGACGGATATGGCGAGCACAATAGTGAATTTTTTTCCATAAATGAGAAAATGCGCTAAAAATACAAGACGAAAGTAAATACCGCACCAGTGGAAACTCGATGAAACTAAAGGATGCTTGAAATGGACTGTCTTGGCAGTAGCGAGGCAGTCATTAGAATTTTTCAGGTGATAAACGTATACAATTCTCGTCCGTGAAAAATCGTTAAGAATAGATTAAAGTTGAAAAAATATATGTGACTAAAATTAGCAGGCTTTAAAAAGTTGACGATTTGAAACGGTGCTGCTCAACTTTTGTTGCAACTCTGGCTTCACAACAATCCTAGCATTGGCTACGCGTAAAATGTTATATTTTTTGCTCATGTGTAACCGAAGCATTAAATTTAATTAAAAAATAGTTTTTACCAAGTATGATATAACAGAGCAGTTATTGCAGAGTATGATATAGCTGGTCCCCAACACGCACCACACAAAAGCAAATCCTTGCCTCGGAAACTAAGTAACTGACTCCGAAAACCTATGCTCAAATAAATCAGACCGTGAGCCATATCTACACCCGAAAAGACTTGATTATGATTCGTCCTAACTGAAGATCTCTTCTCCAGTAAGAAATAACAACATATTGATGTCGGCGCTGAAGAATTGGCCTGATGTGGTCTGTCGCCGATCCTTGTACTTTTCGTGACTTGTTCACAGGAGATCTAAAACATGCCCTTTGACCGGATTTTTTCAAGACTGACGATAGTTTGAAATAGCTACTAGATTTCCACCAGGTTCGATATGGTGCTAGGCGTTTCAAGTCTGAGCATATAATAGCGGTTACAGCGTTTATTAGACCATAGGCCTGTCTCCGATTCTTAACATCGCAGAACATCCACAGCTTGTTGCGGTTTCGAACTCACAACTCATTGATTCAAATTCTGCTGTGCTTTACCGCCCGGCCTCCTCGCCGATTCTGACAGAAACTGGCGCGCAGAGCTGGGATCGAACCCGCACCTCTCTGCGCCAATCTTGGTGCTCTGAACTTTAAGCACTGGGCCACCCTGCTATATTTTTCGGAGCGTCAACGATGTAACCAGCGAGGCTGTTCCACACGTGGTTGAACTCTGCGAAAAGCTCATTTGTCAGGTTGTGATGTCATTACTGACTATTACGTCACCTTCTGTGACGTCACTACTCGTGGGTCACCGCGTATATAAGCTGAGAAAGCGCACTGTTAGTCAGTCCCAGCAGAGTCTCAGTCTTAGGCAGACAGCCTTCAGCTGCAGTCATGCAGTGAGGTGCAGAATGCAGTAATAATCCTATTTTTTTTAATGAAAAATGTAAATGGTAATATCATCAATACAGGGAAAATGAGTACAATTCTCAGAGAATGTCATTTATTTTACATCTAAATCCTCAACAAACGAAGGGGTGGACTTCGGAGTACTGTTAGTCTGTTACTAGTGTTAGTAATGAAAATTGAAAATGAATGAGTATCATGAGTACCTACCCTACCTAGTACCTACACTCTACACAGGCTACACAGCTACACGGCGCTACACGTGACAAGTGACACTGTGACACAATACTTTGCATGCTCAATACGTTTTAAAATTAAGTTTCATTTAAAGTGTACCACTGTACCTGGGTACCATATTACCCTGGCCTGTTGACCCCTGTTCCAGGGGTCATTTTGGACGATTTTTTTTTGCTTTTGGCACCTTACAAATAGCATATGGAATTTGTTTGGAGATGCCATATAATTATAATAATAGCCCTTGCAAAGACCTTTAAAATGAGTCTAAACTTGTTTATGAAATGTTTCAGGATAAGAAGTTAGCAAAAAAAGGGTCCCTTACTATCCCTGTCTCTTATACACATCTAGATGTGTATAAGAGACAGTGATTACACATTACGACTTGGACAAATTACCAACGCATGTAGACATAAGGTAGATATTGCATTCAACTGGTTGAGTGATGTCGCAACTTTTAGAAGCAAGTTAGAAAAATTATTTTCATTGTAAAATATGATCAAGTCAACAAGTGTTATGGTGGGCACTTCACAAGAAGCATCTCTGGCAAAGCAACGACAGTTACGAAACTCAAGAAGATAAAAAATGATGAACGAACTTATATTTTCTTTCCTGTTCAGGAGAACTTAAATGTTCTACCAAAATGTAGGCAGAAAACAAAACAATATGCTAGGCAAAAAAAATGATTGAGTTTTTCTTAACCAAAGCCGCAGCTACGTTGCTTATCGTTAGGCCGCTTCAATTAGGGTCACAGTAGGGTGGCCCAGTGGTTAAAGTTCTATAGTACCAAGATTGGAGCAGTGAGGTGCGGGCTCCATCCCAGATACCTGTGCGCCAGCTTCTGGTCAGAATTGGCGAGGAGGCCGGGCAGGTAAGCACAGCAGAATTGTAGCATCGAGTTGCGTGTTTGAGACCGCAGTGAACTTTGGATATTCTGCGATGTTAAGAATCGACGACAGGCCTGCGGCCTAATAAACGTTGAAACTGCTATTTCTATTGTTATTAGATGCCTTCACCTTCCACTGCTGCCATTTTAACAGAACATATTATTTTAGCAAAATTGAAGCAGTGAGTTGGGTGTTTGAGACCTGCAACAAGCTATGAATATTTTTGCGGTGCTAAGAATTGGCAACATGCATGTCTGACGTTCTAATAAACGCTGACACCGATATACATCTTTTACGTTAATTCATATCTCTTTTATGCTTTTACATCTTGGCGTTATAAATTCAACATTCGGTACATCACTCTAATGTTGGTTTGTCTTGTGCATATTTCTAATGCTAAAGTTATCTTTATTTAGAGAATAGAGCCAAGGACCCATCCATGCTTTGTAACGATCGTGACAGAAATGACCTGGAAAACTGCTTGCTGATAGACGAAGCTACTAGACAAAGCTATGCCTACCCCTTACGGACCAGGCAATAAATACAGCAGCTATCTCAAATCAATGGTCAGTTTTGGAAAAATCGGGTTCAAACGCACAGAGTGTGTGTGCAGGGCTGAAATAAGATGAATCAATCACTTATTCAATGTAAATCACAACTCCGCACTCCACATCAACACTTTGCACTTGCTAGTTAATTGTGCTAAGAGCAGCAATGACCGCATTGACTTGTGATCCCTTGTGAATCAAGTTACGAAAAGTACAAGAATCCTCAACAGGCCATGGGCCTATTTCTTCAGTGCCGA